TTATAAATACAAGGTTTCTCTTCACTCATTTTCATATTGCAAACTTGTTTCCTATATTTTCTAGCTTGTGAGAGAGAGATCTCAAATTTTGTACTGCTTGTCGAGGAGAAGAGTTGTCGTACATACCAAAGTAGGTCAAAAAAAAAAAAAGATTTCTTTCGATTTTTCTTCGCAGTGAGGAGCGATTGGCTTGACTAGCTGGTTGTCATCATGATGCGAAGGCTGGAGCTATGACAGCAGTTGCTGGCAATGGCTATTATTGCAACCCTTTTTTTTTTCTTTCTAAAATACTGCAACTGAAATCGTGTCTCGGAGAAGCAGCGAGGAACGTTGGCACGGGTTTGGGTTACGTTGTGGCTTGGGTCAGTGCTGTCGGCTACTGCTTATTGTCATCAGTTGCTGTTGATTACCGTTGGCTGTTGCCTCTTCTTTTTTTTGGTACCGCAAGTCATATTTTTATACAATTTAACTTGAAATTTTCTTCTTTTTGTAGCAATTAAGCGATCATTTCTTTTTATTAGGGTAGTCGATCACCTAGTTCACAAGTGCCTTTGTACCTGTGGGGTGGTTACAAGGTGTACAAGAAGAGATTTGTGGTGAATTTGCATCGTGTCATAACCGAGGCTCACTTTTAGAAGTGGCGCACCTCCTATGCTTATGCCATACCTGATGACGTGTATATCAGGCTAGCGGAACTTATAACTGATGATGTGCTTGGCGTGGACCGGAATGATTCGAATTCGAGGATTTTTACCTTTCGCCCTTTCTACTTCTCATTGGGCTTCATGTCCCTGCTGTTAAAGTTCTTCAGGATGGTGTTTAGTGCCATGGAGTGTGCCCCAAGCCAATGTACTCTAAACGTCTACTAGGCAATCATATGCTTCGATAACTTGAATCGCTTCATCAAGCTAGGCTTGATTGTGTAGGAGTTCTTTTACTTCTTCGAGGTGAGGCGCTACAAGAAGTATGCTCAAGTTCGTGTATGCAATGCCAAGTTGTTTGATAGTTTCAGCCAAGGAGATCACTTGTGGCATGCTAATGCCTTGGAGGTCAGCAGAAAGTGGGAAGGTGAGGAAGGCGATGGTCCACTTGTTCCCCTCACCCACTGCGATGGTATGTCATACTATGTTGATATGCTTTAGTTTTATTTGAATTCCTTAATGTGTGACTGACTGAAGTCTTCTGGAAAGAAGAATATCAGCAAGAAGTTGGATATCAAACCGAACATGGCTAAGGTCTATCGGGCCTTGAACATCCCTGCAAAGTTTCGGGAATGACGCTGGTTGTTGAGTGAGTATCGGAATGACATTGGTGGTCTGCCTACTACCAAGGATGTTGAGAAGTAAAAGCAGTATGACTCAGACTCGAGATGATCAACCTGCCAAACTAGAGGAGTCCTCAATTGAACTCCCTAAAAATAGAAAGGCTACCCCTATGTCCTCCAAAGATAAAGCTGCATCATCGCAAGCAAGAGATGTGTCTCCGCTAAGAAAGAAGCCGAGACTTCCTTTTGTTGTTATCAAATATTCTTTGAAAGAAGTCTCATTTGCTAAGAAGACTTAATTGGGAGCTACTCCATCATCTGCCACGGTCAAGCACCTTGTCGGCATGAATAACAAGAAGATTGGTGACATGCGAAATATTCGTGGTATTCTACTAAAGTCTCCAGCTGATAAGCTCAAAACCTGCGATATGCCCTACAAAGAAGTCTGCTCCCAACCTAATTCGCATGCTAAGAAGCAAAGAGCTGCTGAAATTCCTCACAGAAGTTCGACTCGCATGCATCAGTCAAGGGATGAAGGTTGAACTGGAAGGACTGCTTCTCTATTTAGCGATCGCAATCCATTTGCCGAGCCACGAGCAATCAAACATGGGACTAATTCAGCATCGTTGACTCCTTTGGAGGCAAGGATGATTACGGCTAAGAATGTTAAAAGGTCGTTTGTTCGGGCAAAGAGTCTTTCGAATCCGCGAAAAGTCCAAAGGTTGACAAGCCTAGCTCCGCAAGGATGCATGTGTACCTCATCTGCTTAAGATGAACTTTCTGTCAAGCCCATCTGCAAGCTTGTTGATCAAATACATCAAGTTAGTGATCTTAACACATTCTCGAGTATTTCCTCTGATGAGCAAAAGGAAAGGGCTATAACTTTGCTTTATAAAAAAAAGGGTAGTTTTTGCTATTAGGGTCATCTGAAGCTTGTCTTCTATTGACCCATCTTCTACTCAGCTCGATGAGTTGGAGAAGAAGAATGTTGATTTGACTGACAAGCTCTTGGGCGAGCAAACCCGCCATGAAACAAAGATGTTTGAAATGAAGAAGAGCCTAGGTGGGCTGAAGAGTTCCCTTGTTAAAAAAAGATAGTGAACTTAACTCTTCTATTGCTGCCCTGCATGATAGTGAAGAGGTCTACTTCCGTCTCGAACATAAGAATGCGAAATAACCTAGAGTTATGACAAGATGCTAGTTAAGTTTGACGCATATTGCAAAGCTGCTGAACAATCCAAGTTTAAGGTCGTCATCGATGCATACAAGCAGGGCTAATTGGATTACAAGAACGGGGCCACTCTTTATCATTTCATTGAAAATGAAGATGTCGAGTTGTTCTTCCTTGATATGCTATTTGTTCAAGGTAAGCAAATCAATGTAATGGACAGTAGTTGGAGCTGCTAATGAGCTTGTAGTTAAGGATGATGATTCTAAGGAAGGCGCAGCTGATGTAGTGGCGGTAGAGGTTGTGGAGCAGTAGCTGGAGCTGCTAAGTAGACGGCTGCATCTGATGAGCATGTAGCTGAGCAGGGGGAGCCACAAAGGGCGTAGTTGATCAGGCGATAGCTAAGGAGGTCGTTGATCAAGGATCATCTGCCGAAATCTCACAGTAGATGAAAACTCCTTTATCTTTTCAAGATTTATAACTTGCTTTTCTTTTTGTAATAATTGGTCTCAGTTGACCATATTTCTTTTGTTGAACTCTGGCCAGCTGGTTACTTTTGGTATGAAACTTCAGTTATTTATGTAACTTCAATTTTCATTGAGTCTTTTCAACTACCTGAGTGACTTGTTGACGCATTTGTTGCTTTTGGATGGTGGCATGTTTGGCCTGCATCTCCAGGAGAACGTTTTATTGTAGTTGTCTTGCGTCTCCCTAATGACATTTTTGGACTGTGGTCTGTATGATATGCGTCTCATGTAAGGACGTTTCCAATTGGGTTTCATCTTCTTCGATCATTACCTTTGTGTTGAAATGAAAGCTTTTCTAAACACAAGGTCCCAGGTTGGAATTATCTCACTTTAGCTCTCTTGTTGTAGTATGACATCAACTACTGCTGATAAGCTACTACTTGAAAAATGACATTTTCTTGTTCTTCTTTAAGCAGGTCAAAGTTGACCTTCATCTGCTCACGGTAATGATTAATGTTGCCTACCTAAATACTCATTGATGGAACATTGATATGTGGAGGAATAATTGCTTTAGTTTCATAGGCTAAGGAAAATGGAGTTTCGCCGGTTGATCTTCTTTTGGTAGTGCGATAAGCTCATAGGATTCCAGTCAGCTTATTGACCATTTTCTTTTGGGGCTCTCCAATATTTTCTTTAGGCAGTCCAACACGATCTTGTTGGATACTTTCAATTGGCCATTGCCTTGCGGATATCTAAGAGTTGATAGGTGCTACTTGATGTTTGACTTTGCAAAGAATGTGATGATCTGTTTGCTAATGAATTGTGACCCACTATTGGTGACCAGCAACTACGGGCAGCCGAACCGGCAGATGATGTTCTTCCAGATAAATCGCTCCATGTCGGCTTCTTTAGTAGATGATAGAGCTTCGGCCTCGATCCATTTAGTAAAGTAGTTGGTGGCGACGATCATCATATCATTTTTGGCATGTGATGGTGGCATGGAACCCACTAAGACGATGATCCATTCCTAATTTAGGGAGATATTCTTATCCTAAATCAAAGATAATTTCCCTAATTAAATATGAATTAATTAGGGTAATTAATTCATGTAAGGAATATCCCTTTTTCATGTGTAGTTTTCTTATTGGCCGGTGAAATATGTGTTCCTACAGTATGATTGGAGTTCAAATTTTATAAAGCCCCTAAAATAGCTTTTGTGTGTTTTAAACTAAATTTTAACTAAAAAATAGGGAGCATAATTGTAGATGCCTTAACAACCCAAGTTGTTGGACTTGGATCTAAATGTCCCTATAAAATTGTCTATCATGATGCAACAAATCTCATAAAAGTAAAAAAGATTGAGCCTCCAATGATCCAACAGCGCATAAAAGTGAATAAGAGTCACATAAATATTATTACTGGTTCATAATTATGCAATCGAGCCACAACAACATTTTTCTAGTTATGATTTTAAATATTATTAGGTTCAAAAGTACCCACTTCATAAACACTCTTTTCTTTTTGTGGCCAACATTAATTTTCCCGCTTCGTCTTATTTAGCCGAATTTATTTTGTTGATTAGAGTTTACAAGGACCGGTACTTTATCTTCTTTTTCCTCTTCTAACGTTCCATGAGTCTAATTGTTTTTCTATGTTTCTTCTTAGGAATTAGGGTTAGTGTATGAAATTTGCTAACTAGAGATGATTTCGAATTCAGGTTCACTATTAAAACAGTGAAATTTGTTAAATTAACACTTGGATCATGCCTTTTTATCATACAATAATGTTATTATTCTTGTGAATCACATATAGATCATGCCTTCTTTGTTTTTATCATACAAGAATTAAATTCTTATGAAATGGACCTCAATAGGGTAACTGACCATTATAGCAAATTTAATTTTTTGGTCAAAGAATATACCACTTTAAGCTTCAAACAATAGGAAGGAACACTAGTCAATTTTTAAAAACGAATTTTAGCAAATAAAATTTCTCTAGTTAAATCCCAAGGACAAAATGGTTATCAAATAAAAAATTTAATTGACGGTTTTGTCCTCCATGAAAAAGCATTGCAGTACGGCGCACACACACTGGAAGAATATCAAAACGCAACAAAAATATCACCGCCTCAGCAGTTTTTTTGCCTCCCCTCATATTCCTGTGAAAATTTCTTCCAACCCATGATTTCCGCTCGAGAACTGAAGTAAAAGCCCTACCAGTCTCTGGTTGTCGTAGGAAAAAAAAAAATTAAGCACTAAGATTTTCATGCAGGTCAGTCAAAATTTCTCGATATTGTTCTAATTTTTGTAGAAATTTTCCTTTCTATGATTCCAATGGTTGCGATGAAATCGGACCTGAAATTGTTAGTGTTAGTGTTTGGGTTTTGGTTTAAATTATGTGGCATTATATGGCAAATCAATGCGTAAGAGGTGGTGAATTTCTGCATTGGTGTAATTTGTGGCAGGCGATTAGGGGTTTTAGGGTTCAGAGCTTTGGCATTGTACGGTTTGGATCTGAATGTTAGCTACTTGCTTAATTTTTTAGTTTTTGTATGGCACGTAATGTTACGGCATGCTTTTGACCTCTTTCATTAGCCATTGTGCCATTTCTAAAAATGATAACAAGTTGTGAGATTTAGGCAAGAATATAGATGGTAACAAGTTGTGCCATTTCTCACTTGCTTTCTGTTTTGATTCAAGGCACATTGCCAACTTCATTTTATTAGCTTAAGGGACTGGAATAGGGCTGCTACTTTCTCCTCTGAACGAATTGAAATTCCAGAAGAGCTAGTACTGTCATTGGAGTATTAGGTAATTGGAATAGTACACAATATAGAAACTGGCACTAACCTGGGCTCTTTTATGTTTAGGAGAAAATGTAAGTGGAATTTATTTACGAGTTAGGAGGAGTAGGAGTATTCGTCTATTCATTTATTCGGTACTAGAAATTGAAAATATATATAAAGAGTAATTTTTTTTTTCTTACAGTTTTCCCAAACTCTTGCTAAGAAAAACAGAGAATTGATTCATTGGTTGATAGAAATTGATTTTGTCTTGCTTCATTGAACTTTCAAGATGTCTTCATGCTGTATGAGTATTATTCTAACCTAAAATTCTTCTGTTGATGTACAGTTGAAATATGGCACATGATACACGATCTAGTCGGAAAATCAAGGATGATGAGAATAACAATTCAAACGGGAGGCAAATTAGTAGTAAAGGATTAAGTACTTCAGGTTCTGGAGCATCAGATACATCTGGCTTAAGGAGGTCTTCCAGAGAAACATCATTAAAGAAAAACATAACTCTGAGCCCTTCTAGTACTAGGAAGTCTGAAAGACTTGAGAAAAAAATGCCTGAAACTCCTCTATTCAAGAGGAAATCTGAGAGATTTGAGAAGAAGTTGACTCCAAGTCCTTTGAGGAGATCAGATAGAGCCAAGAATCACTCATCAACTTCTTCTGGGTCTAAAAGATCTGATAAAAGCTCAGGTTCATCAATGGCGAAGCGGAAAACGGAAAAGAAAGAGAAGAGTGTGAAAGAATTGACATTGGGTACTAGAGAAGTTAGCAAAAGTGAGAAACAGAATGTAGGACCTTGTCATGGAAAAAATAAGATAAGAAATGCTCGAGCTTATAAGACACTCTTCATGAAACATAGAAAGAAGCTTCAAGCACGAGGTAACTGAGTGTTGGCTCCTAGCCATTCTTTTGAAGTCATTATTATTGTTATTATTATTATTTATTTTTTTTGGAAACAAAGTGGAATAGATTATTCACTTCATTGTTATCTTTTCTTCTTGAATTTAAGATCATAGCGAGAAGCAGAGCAGGCAGAATAAAGTCTCTCAGGGAGGTAGCAATGCTTGTGGAAGTGAGGTTGAAGGGCTTGGTAAAGGCGTTGAGGAACTGAATGAAGAATTTGTGGGGAGAGTTCATGATGGATCTTTGGTGGGGTCTGATTCCAGTGTAAATAAATTAACAAAAGAAACATGGGAAGATAATCCCGGAGTGGATTTGTCCCATTCAAGCCCTAGGCCTAGCTGCTTGGAGGAAGCTTCTGAGTTCAAATATGGTGATGGCTTAGAAATTCGTGATCAACGCCCACTGTCATCATCTTATAATGCCATGATGGAAGAGCTCAATGATGCACCTGAAAGGGTACATGTAGAATGCTCTGCAATGGAAGAGTTGAAGATGCCAGAGTTGACATGTTCTACGTTCAATGAAAGGGTACATGTAGAATGCTCTGCAACGGAAAAGTTGAAGATGCCAGAGTTGACATGTTCTATGTTCGATGAAAGGTTGCATGATGTCTGCATTGCCTCAAAAATTGGTCACAGGGTCATACCTTCAAAGAGGAAAAGGAACGTGGCAGATGGGGATTCTGATTCTCCAGTTAATGCAAGTAAAGATGTCTGCACCTTGACTGCTGATGCTGTCTCTTCGTTGCCATCTGGGTCCACAGAAGATGTTTCTGTTGAGACGTGCGGTGCATGTTTTAAGCGACAAAGGTATTGCTATTCACAATAAAGTAGTCTTTTCATCTCCTTTTACATCAACCATTGAATTAATTTTTTATAAACTTTTTAACAACAAATTGTTTTATGGGTTAGTTGCACCTGCATCCCCTAAAGTTTTATGCATTTCCACTTTAGAATCCTTATTTCTGGAATTTGAAGTCCAGCTACTTGAAGTTTAGACATGGTTGCTCATAACCTCCTTTAGGCAGAAGTCAACTAACAAACTTAGCGGAATCAATGACATGACAAAAACACCTAACAGTTAAAAATATTGTTTGGTTATTGTTGAATTTATAACTTAGATAAAGGGAACTGTTATTGGCACTCCAAAATAGTCACGCTGCAATCATGTAAGCGCAATTTCTCCCTTGTGATTTTATAATGGAGTGCATGATGATTTTTTCCTAGTGCGAATAACAGATCCCTACATAAAAAGTGTAGTTTGAGTAAAACTCCTTAAAAATGATCAAACAACAAAAAAACTTCTTAACACTTGAGCCCATTATGTAGACTCCACCATCCCTTTCCAACTGGCATCCCAAATTTCCCACAGAGATATGGCAGAAATCTGGGATTCATGAGAAAGATTTGAGAGGGAGACAGCACATATTCTATAAATGGAATTTCTCTTGCTATTTTGTGTTTTCACTCTTCCCTTTTCAATATTTGCTACAAAATGCTTAAGTTCTTGGGTTTGTTCCTCCCTTTGGTACATTTTGGGTAATCTTAAATTCCTCTCAAATTTGTTCTGAATCGTGGTTGAAGGTCAGGGATTTGGGTTTGTCTGTGCAATCTTTGTTTCTGGGTTTGCTTAAAAAAAATATTCATGGAAGAGAAGAAAAAAAGGTAAGACCAAAGCCTCTGTTGTAACAAAAGATGAAAAACGCTTTATTGTGACCTGTTGAATAGAAGTGGACTCCTTATCCCCTTTTGGAAGTTTTTGTTTGGATTTTATAAAAGTTTTACCCTTTTCAGAAAACAAAAGGATGAAGAGGAAGTACCTCTTATTGTTCATATTTCTGGGCTTGATTCAAAATTCCTTCCTACAGATTGTTTACTTGTGAAATTAGATCAAAGATAAGTTAGATAAATAATGGCTAAAGAGGACCAAACTCACAAGTATCACGATACTATTAGTGGTGGTGCTGTTAGTGGTGGTGCTGATAATAATGGTTTTGAAGCATTACTTGATCTTCTTCAGAGAAAGCTAAGAAAAAGGCCCGACAAAAAGGACTTGGCGGGTCAATGATATAGGCAAAGATCTGGAATATTTTGGACTGGAGTTGTGTATGCACCCATTGATTTTTTGTCGTCCTCTACATCATTGCTGGTTGAAGTTTCAATATTATACTTTTCTGCAAAATCTAACGTCATTATTGATGGAGCTTTGCAATGTATTCTTGTTGGTAACTGGTTATAAGGGGTAACTTAAAATGGAATCCCAACAAATGCAGACGGATTACAAAATCATTTTACATGGTCTGTGATAATTTATCAGGATGTGTACTTATCTATTGTCTTAGATTTGTCAATGTTGAGCAATCATGGGAATCTTATAACATTCTAACTTTCCTTTTTCTCCCTCTGTTTCTCATATGATATTTTCAGGGTAGAAAATGATCCGATGAATCTGGAGTTTTGCTCTTGCAGCACAAAATTAAATCAGGAGTTATGTGGTGCCTCTGTAACTGAGGTTGGTTGACCTTCCCCAATATTTAGTGCTTTCCAAATCCATTGTTTCCAGTTATACTTTTCTTCAAGTTTGTTTCTCTCAAAGATGGAATATTTTTCTCTATATGGTCTGTCACTTTTTATGTTGCTTTCCAGTGCATATATTATGGTACTGCAGCTTTGATTTCGATATCTCTTTTTCCTGGTTATATGTCTCATTTCATTGTGGGGAGGTGGTTCTATATTTCGTATCATCTTGTGGATATGGATTGTAAAGAATCTTTTATTAGTTGCTGGTGTAAGATACTGGCAGTAGGCCATGTCAGAACTTTTTGAAACATTATATATTGGATAAAGTAATTGGTATCGCTGTTATGGTAACTTTTTTGTGGGTTGTAAGTTAGCAGAGGACATGTGAGAAATTATGAAGCGAGGGGTGCTACTCTACCTTAGCATATGTTTTTCAATATAAGAATATTAGGTTAGGTACTCTACCTTATGTTTTCAATATGAGGCAGGGGGTGGTCTCTACCTTGGCATGCGTTTTTCAGTATAAGAATATTAGTTATCACGTTTGGTTTCTTGAGGTTTCTAGAAAACTTAACAGGCTCATCTATTTGTTATGTTCATAAAGGTTTTAGATATCCAACCGATGTTATTCATCAGTGAAAGTTTTGACAGCAGGTAACATTGTAGAACTTTTTGGGTGATCTTTGAGGAGTTGAGTCTGAAATATATTCTCTTACTTGGACTTATTATTTTTTATATAATAAGATTCTCATTTGAACTTTAGAATTCAAGGTTTGTAAATCTGTTTTAAATAAGTTTTTTCTTGAATATTTTTAGTTACATACTGATACCTCACAAATGCAGATATGAATGATATTCTTTCAACTTAATTGATTACATTTTTAATGTTACAGTAGAATGTGGCTTTAGTGTTGAGTTGGAAAACAAATGTAAATGGAAACACGGAGAAGGTTTATGAACTAGGAATTAGTGTACATTTTCCCTGGCATTTCATAGGCTTTAGTGTACATTTTCCAGCAGATGATTCTCTTCAGATGGTTCAAATGGAGCATTTCATAGGCTCATATACGTTATGTTGTGGAGATTGTGCTTGTAAATTTCTTGTCACTGGTCTACTGTTAGTTTGCATTTTATGTTTGTCCTACGTCAATTATTGATTTTGTCTGGGGTTTGGTAATTATTCTGAAAAGTTGCATCCGGATAGAGGAGAGCTCATAGCTGATAGTACCATGGGAGTTCCTGAAAACCTTAACACTTGTACGCAGCAAAAGGAGTTTTCTGCAGATCTTCAAACAAATGGCAACCAAAATACATGCCTCATCTGTTCTCTTGGTGGGAAGCTCCTGTGGGTAACCTTTTCTTCTGGCTTTTCATTGTTGCAAATGTCTCTAGTAGATGATATGGAAAATTTATTTTATGCTTTCTTTTAGGAGAAACAAATTTTATGAAACCCAAAACAGATTACAAGGTACAAAGAATCAGTGGAGAAGGCATCCGCCTTCATCCAGATACAAATAAAGCTAAGACCAGAGCAACCACAGAATAATACATAGACTACGAATTTGTTGAAGTTAGAAAGACACGCCAATTGATCCTCTAACATGCGGTGGAAGGCCTTTTCATTGGGGCTTTTCGGCCTATCCTACAGTTTTCCATTAAGCATAGCATCCAAAATCTGCCTCCCTTTCATAAAAGCCCGCCTTGAGTGCATGAGATTGTATCACAATAATCTTATATAAGCTAGACACCAGACTAATTAGCCTAAAGTCTCTCACCGTTGCTGAATCTGACTTATTTTGGAATGAGGCCTATGTAAGTTTCACATGAATGGATGTACTTCTTTTTATGCAGTTGTATTTGCACATGAGTGAACATGTTCACAATATGGATTTATTTTTTATTTAATCTTGGAATTTCATTGCTTCTATGATGTGTTTTGTGTTCTTACAATTTGTTTTCAATTTCAGGTTCTGTGATGGAAGAGGATGCAAGAGAAGTTACCACCTTTCTTGTCTAGATCCTCCTATGGATGCTGTTCCTCTTGGAGTTTGGCACTGTTCCATGTGTGTTAGGAAAAAGATAGAATCTGGTATATATTCGGTGTCAGAGGGAATTGAGTCAATCTGGGATGCTAGAGAGGTGGAGGTATCTGATGTTGATGGTATGCGGAAATTCTGAAAATTTGGCTCCATGTCTGTTTTGGATTATTTGCTTAAGTTTTGATTTCTCTGTTGTGACTATTTTGTGGATGATGGGGGTTTTTAATACCAATACTGTTCCTTTTTTTTTCTTTTCTTTTTCTCAGGATTGTTAAAGAGGAAGGAGTTTTTTGTTAAATACAAAGGTCTTGCTCATATTCACAATCAATGGGTACCAGAAAGTAAATTGCTTCTTGAAGCTCCTACCCTTGTGGGCAAATTCAACCGAAATAACCAGGTAATTTTTTCCTCTATTGTTTTGGTATACGTGTTCTATTTCATTTGTCATTTCTATCAATGGAAAATGTGAAACACCACGAAAAAGGGAATCTGACATTCTTTGATGGGCTTGATATGCCTTTGCATGGGTTCAAATTTCTTTTTCTTCAGATCATAGATAATTGCTTTCTTAACTTATTTTTCTTTTAACCATTAACCAAAAGCTACCTTTGCACATCCGCTGTAGTTGGGGAGTGGTAAGTAGAAATTTTAACTCTCTTATTTTCGCCTTCTGCACTCCATTGAGTGTAGAAAAAGTTGAAGAAAAAAAAAATCAATTTAGAGTGCATATGGATAAAAGAGGACTGCCAAGATGACTATTCTTTGTATTTTAAGCGATTTCTTTTTGTGAATTTATGTTCTCCAGGTGACAAGGTGGAAGAAAAAGTGGACTGTTCCACGTCGCTTGCTACAAAAAAGATTGTTAATGTCTCCCAAGCAGCATGACAACTATCTTAGGGAGCATACTGGTGATAAGTTATTTTGCCATTATGAATGGCTTGTGAAATGGCATGGTCTTGATTATGATGATGCTACTTGGGAGTTAGAGAATGCTGCATTCTTGAATTCACCTGAGGGTCAGGGCCTTATAAGCGTTTATGAAAACCGTCATCAGAGGGCAAAGAAGGCTTCTATTTCCCCTGAAACGGATAAGGTGCCTCAGACATGATTTGTATGAAGAAATATTTGAAACAAATATCTAATTTAAAAATGCATATCTATTTAGATGAGTAGGTTTAAGGTGTCAGTTTCATCCACATTATATTTGTTTACCAATAACATCTCATTATCTATCTTATTTGTTTTGAATTGATACGTAAACTTGTATTATTAAGTGGAAGTTGAAAAGGAACTTACTGGTTGACTAGTCTTAAGCATGTTGGAAACCCATAACGGAATGTCCATAAATTAGAAGTATAAGATATTTCTTTTCCTTCTCTGATTGGTGGAGGCTTCTCTATCATTTTTCTTTGGTTATAGAGGCTTTTCTTTTTGAAAAGATAGAGGCGTTTCTGTCATTGATCATAATGGGACCTGCCCTCTGTGTGTGTTTTAAAGGATATTATAATTTTTCAAGGTTCCAGGTGTGGGCTCCACTGTCCTTTCGGATTTAGAGCATGTAGAGATTTATCTCTCTACATTTTCATAAAATTGATTAAGAATAAATTATCCTTAGATGAATCTTTTTCTTAGTTTTGCTTTCATGTTTTTTAATATGCGATCTTTCTGTTGTTAATGCTAGCGTTACCTGCAGATACTTGAGGGTAAAAACTGTTCATCAGTTAAATTATTCCAACTGCCAGCTGGTGAAATATCTGGATTTGATAATACTTGTCTAGACAATGTTAACAAGCTACGTGAGCTCTGGCACAAGAGTGAGAATGCTGTTGTTTATGATCAGGTGAGCTTAATTAACTTTTCTGCTATTAGACAGTTCGTTTCATAGCATTTTGGTACAATGATTATCTTGGTGTGGAGTTTATGATCCGATGTTGGAAATATGTTCATATACAGATGATCTGTTTCTTTTTTCTTCTTTTTTCTAGAGAATTTTGTTTATTACTAAGCACATAGAGTACAATCACAGTGGCTACAAGATGTTCACTTCATCAATATACCTATGAAAATAAGACTTTCCATCAAAGAGCAAAATGTGATTATAAACACTTTAGTTTCTAAACCACCTCCCCACTATAGTTTCTAAACTCCTTCTGTTTCTTTACTTTTCAATACTAAAGAGTTCTGTTCCCTTGGATGGGACTCTATTTAACATAACTAAGAGGGTCCCCCCGTTGTTAACCGGGAAAAGAGTGGGACTTGAAAAGAGGAGGGGAGATGGGCCAACAAAATCACCCAAGCCACCGTTAACACACTTCAAATCCATAAAGCTTTTGCCTTCTTCATCCCACCAAAATTCTTGCGCCTCTGACTAAGAAGATCTATGCAGTTGGGCATCAAAGGGACCAATTAAAATACAATAGGGAAATAGAGGAACAAATCATCAGACATTCACTCCCTCCTTTATATATTATACACATTTTGAAGAAGACACTTGAGTTCTTCCCCTCTGATTCAAGTCATTGAACAACCTACCATGAGCGATTGTTCAAGTATTAGGTGGTACTCTAACCTTCCAACTTATAGGAAATAGTTGGATAAGGAAAGAGAAGGATTTTCACATAATTTCTTGAAATATGATGAGGGTAAACATTTTTACCACTTTAATTCTTCTCCTCTGAAATATATTATTGTACCTTTAACTCAAAAATGTTTGATTAGAGACCTTAGATCGATTTACTATTTGCTTGAACCTCTCCTATTATGGTCAAGCTGGTGCTTAAGGGGGAAAACTGAAAAAAACGAGTTTCTTTAAGACTAAATCCAGTAAAGTTTCATGCGGGTCTGGTGTAAAGAAATTCTGTTTTTGCAGGAACGAATCGCAAAGGTGGTTGCATTTATTCTATCTTTGCAGTCTGATGCTCATCGACCTTTTCTCATCATCTCAACTCCTCCTACACTTTGTTGTTGGGATAATGAGTTCTTCCATTTGGCACCATCTATCGATGTTGTGGTTTACAGTGGAAATAAAGATTTACGGAGAAGTATTAGGACAATAGATTTTGATGAGGCTGGTGGTTGTATGATGTTTCAAGTACTTGTTACCTCACCAGAGGCTATTATTGAGGTATCTCTCTCTGCTTGTAGGATTCGTTAGCATTAGAAATTTTTTAGTGGATTGTAAGAGTGCTTAGCTCTCTTTAAAAAAAATAGTACTTAGACAGTAGTGACTTAGTTGTTAAATTCTCTCTCTATTGTGTAGGATAAAAATGTGTTCGAGTGCATACGATGGGAAACTATCATAATTGATGAGTGCCAGCGCCCTACAATCTCTAAACAGCTGGTGCAGATTAAGATGCTACGTACACATAATTGGCTTCTCCTGGTCAATGGAATATTTAAGGTTTGTATTTTATTCTCCTTTATTGGTATTTTTCTGTTTTCCTTTTTGTTATTATTGTATTTTTCTGTTATTTTTCTGTTTGGGAATATCTTTTCTACTGGTCGACTTATGCAATGCTAAATATTTCAGGAGAATAGTGCTGCTGAGTACTTTAGTTTGCTGTCTGTCCTTGACTCTCACGGCGATTCACAAAATGGTGATCATTTGCTAACCAGTTCTGGTGATATTATTGGTAAACTAAAGGAGAGGTTCTCAAGGTATATTGCATATGGAGATATTATTGGTAAACCCAAACCTGACTCTTCTAGGTTTATTGAGTACTGGGTTCCTGTATGTATATCAACTGTCCAGCTAGAGCAATATTGCGAAAATCTACTGTCAAACTCCACGTTGATTCTCTCATCAGCAAAAAAAGATCGTGTTGGAGCACTTGGTGCACTCCATGATATAGTTCTATCTGCCCGGAAGGTTGGTTGGTTGCACTTTTGTCTCAGTGTGACGGTTAACGATTACATGACATCTGTGTCTTTTCATAATCTACTGTAACTTTTGAATCCCATGTTGTCATAGGTTGTCAAAGTTTTTATTTGGTTTGATGACACCATTGTATCATCCAGTTGTTTTTCTTCAGTATGTTATTGCATGACAATTTGTGTTGGCCTGGATATGGACATTGTTGTAAATGTTAAGTTATCCCTTTTAGGTTGATTCTATCTTCAGTGTTGTGGTCAACACTTTACACCTTTAAAAGTTACTATTAGTAATTTAGTGATCTTTATGAAAATTTAGTTTCATGTATTTAGTCATTTCAAATTGTTTGTATAGCACGTACAGATATTGGAACTAGAAGAGATCTGTAATGACATGTTTTCATCTGTTATTTTCAACTTTCTCTTGTATTAAGTTAATTGGATGTTTGTTTTCTTATTGTTATTATTGTATTTTCAACCTTATGCTTTCTGTCCTCTATGTTTTTGATAATTTGAAACAAAGGAAGATACTGTTTGTAATGGGTAGTGAAATGAAATGATCTTCCTAATGGTTGTATATTTTCTTCCCCCATGCTCGGCCACCCTCTTGGATTTTGAGTAAGTTGCTTGTATGGTATTTGTTGACAGTGCTGTGATCATCCCTACATTGTGCATCCACCCTTGCAAACCTTGCTTACTAAAGACCTTCAAGCAGTTGAGTATTTGGATGTAGGAGTCAAAGCAAGTGGCAAGCTTTGGCTTCTTGACATGATGCTTAAAGAGATAAAGAATCGAAGTTTAAGAGTACTCATCCTTTTCCAGGTACTAGATTTGGTAGTGTTACGATAATTCTTATTAGAACAGCTGTTTTAGCATCTTCTGTTATATATATAGAATATAAAAGTTTTGATCTTCACTTGTTTGGGAGGTTATTATTTCCATACATGTGGAATAAGATAAGTTGTTGATTGAGGATTAGCTCCCTATTTCAGAGTTTTTCTGTTTGATATGCTTTTTGGTGGCTGAGAAAGGGAAAAAGAATTTCGTCATATTTATACATATTAGGGACAATGTGGACAATGGTGGGTCCATGATACAAACTATCAGAGTTTCCATATAATCCTATCCGATATGATTAATTAACTACATATCTATCCTACAAAACAAAACCACTGCGAGTTTGGTAACTTTTCGTTTGGGGTTATTTTAGATGACACGACACATATTTTTTAGGTACTACACTCCACATAAAATCGCACTACATTCCAAATAAAAATATTTGTGGCTATTGCAAAATATATATACAACCCCACATAAAGAAAACCTAGTAGAAACTAGATACTAAACAATTACTGGTTTCCAAAAATTACAAAAACTAAATAAATACAAAATTAAATACTTTGCAGAAAAGTTACCAAGAAAAATAAGTCTCTTAGTACCAAATATTACAGGGAGGATATTTTATGCTAAACGTATCATTTTATACTTTTATGTTATGTTCATGTCTGTTATAAGTTTTTAGTTATAGTAATTGTATCCCCTTCTTTTTGATAATTACAATATACATTTTTTAAAAAAGAATAATTACAATATACATACAAGCATTATGGTTTGATGTAATATTTTCTGTAGTTTCACTTAAAAAATTTATGCTTTTGAACCAATACCACAAATTTCTGTGGCGGTCACTGACATTGATATAAATATTCATGAATATTTTCATAAATTTAACTGTCGATATTTCTTTAGATATTGATTTTTTTTTTTAAAGAAACATTTTGTATTCAAATGTTGAAAGGATAAAAAAGGACATTTAGAACACAGGCAAAAAGAAAGAAACAATAGCCAGTGAAACAAACACAGGCAAAAAGAAAGAAACAATAGCCAGTGAAACAAACACAGGCAAAAAGAAAGAAACAATAGCCAGTGAAACAAACACAGGCAAAAAGAAAGAAACAATAGCCAGTGAAACAAACACAAGGCCACACAACATAGAAAACAAAACAGCCAATCAAAAGACAACCCCTTAAGATGCTACAGCCAGCAGCCAATCGCGTATATGGCTTCTGCTTTTGGATTCGATCACTTGTATTCACTCTGTCACATGCCACCAGTCCTGCCAATATCTGCACCTTTGGATCCTGTTCTAATCTAACCCTTTTTGTTTTTGCCCCATCATTTTATTACCAGTCAATCAGTGGTTCAGGAAGTGCTTATTCTCTTGGAGATATTTTGGATGATTTCCTGCGTCAAAGGTATGGTGAAAATTCCTATGAACGCGTTGAGTTTGGTGTTCTCCGTTCTAAGAAAGATGTTGCCATGAACATGTTCAACAATAAGGAGAATGGTAGATTTGTGTTCTTATTGGAGGCTCATGCCTGTCTTCCCAGCATCAAACTGTCATCAGTTGATACTGTAATCATATTTGGTAGTGACTGGAATCCACATAATGATATAAGAGCCCTGCAAAAAATATCACTTGATTCACAATTTGAGGAAATAAAAGTATTTCGTCTATATTCAACGTGTACCATGGAGGAGAAACTTCTAGTTCGTGCAAAGCAGGGGAAGATTCATGATAGCAATGTACAGAATATAAGCAGTAGTATGCTTCTGTGGGGGGCACCTTACCAATTTGATAAATTAGATGAGTTCCACTGCTGCAACACCCCAGCCTCCACAGCAAATATCTTGCCTGAGGAATCACTTCTGAATGATGTCATCCGGGAGTTCTTGTCCATACTTCCTCAGGATGGCAACAACAATGTCTTATGCGATTTCTCTATCATTTCAAAAGTTCAACAAACTGGAGGAGCTTACAGTGCAGAGGTTCCATTGCTTAATGAGCTGAAAAGTCAACATACTGGTGAAGGGCAGCCCCTTAATTTTTGGACAGAACTGTTGGTAGGAAAGCATCCTCCATGGAAATATTGTTCTGGTTTGTCTCAGAGGAACCGGAAACGGGCACAACATCTTGATGAGTTATCAAAGAAACCAGAAGTTGGTAGTGATGAAGTTGTAAAAAAGCGCAAGAAGGTGGTAAATGGTAATGACGATGCACCCTATCCGAAGCCTGGATCAGAGGGGAAATCAGTTCCTGGATGCAAGGAAGGTAAATGGCTAGCTGATATTGTGGATTATTTTGTTTTTCTCATGGCATTTCCCCAGGAGTTCTGTCTTGGTGCAATGTCAGGGTGTTGTAGATTTGCTGGATTCCCACTTTTGGTTTCTGAAATAATCTTTGCTTTTGCAGTATTGTCTGTGGATATAAATGTCTTAGAAAATCCAGAAAGTAGCATGTTTGAGTCTGAGGAGAGAAGAAAATTACATGATGCCCAGAAGAGTCTTCATCAACTTTTGAAGCCAGAGATATTAAAACTATGTGGAATCCTACAAGTCTCTGTATGAATTTGATTTTCCTGCTAAAAACATTTGGTTTCTGTTTTTGTTCATATGCCCTGCCTCTTTTTTTTTTTTTTTTTCTTTTGAAAAGAAACATAGGTTTATTAAGGAAGGAAAGCTAATTACAAAGAGTGGATAAGGAATCCACAATCTGGGAAAGAAACCAGTAAAAACAAGAAAGTACAACTCAAAAAATGTCAAATAAAACAAGTCAGTAAACGAAATATGTGCTGCTGTTATTAACTCGATATTCCATTAATATGTTTCAGTACAACATGGTTCTCTCTTGTAATGATATCTTGGTTGATGTTACTACTTCCTCTAATGCAGGATGCTGTCAAGGTCATGGTCGAAAAGTTTCTTCAATATGTAATGAGTAATCACCATGTTAATAGAGAACCAGCGACAATACTGCAGGCATTTCAGATATCTCTGGTTAGAATCGTCTTGCTCTTTCATGCACTCATGTTTTAGTCTATTAACCTTTTTCACATGTCAAGAAGGAAATAAAATCTACTTGTTATTGGCATGTTGAATTGCGAAGTTCTTGCATGCATGCTTTCTTTAATTTTACATTCCTTCAACAATCATATTTCTTTCTGGTTCTGAAATGATTTTTGATGATTTGTTCATTTCCTTTTACTCTGACAAGCTGCCACTGAATATGTAATAGTGACACTTTAATTTAGGCGTACATCACCTCCTGATATCTATAATGCTTCTTTCTGGGTGCATGTGCATATACTATAATGCTACTTTAACTTCTTTTTTTAACTGACTTGCTGATATCTATAAATTCCAGTGCTGGACTGCAGCTTCATTTCTGAAGCAGAAAGTCGACCACAAAGAATCTATTCAACTTGCAAAGAAGCATCTTAACTTCAATTGCAAAAAGGAAGAGGCTGACTATGTTTATTCAATGCTGCGGTGCCTGAAAAAAACATTTTTATACCGTACAGGGATGTTTAAGGCTGCAGAATCTCCAAAGTTGGCTAAATTATCAAGTAAAGATGTTTTGAACAATTCACATCCAAAGGTTTCACGGTCAACAACTTCTAACTTTCAGCAGGTCAAATCAGATGTTAAAGACTTGTCACTGAAGCAAGAAAAATTAGCACAAAAAGATGTCTCTAAAAGTATTAAAGATATTCAGAAAAAGATCCAGAAGCAAATAACAAAACTTATTGAGAAGCAAATCAAAGAGAGAAGTGAAGTTTTGAGAACTTGCCAGGAAGAAAAGGCGCATCTAGAAGCAGAATCTGTTGTTATTCGGTCTTGTTTCCTAAATAATACATCAATGAGAACAGAAAAGTTAAAGATGTTGGAAAAGAAAATTGAAGAAAATAAAAACCAGACCAACCTACGTCTTAAGCGTCTTGAGGCATCACAGCAGGAAGCACAGGATAAGTTGAAGGAGATGGGGAAACGATGGGCAGAGGAAGTGCAATCCTGGGCTTGTGTTGAATTGTTAAATAGATTGCCTTCAAATACACCTGAGCCTTGGTTGGAATGCTCAAGGACTAGTGAATGTCTTAGAATTAGTGAAGGTTGCAAAGATTTTGCCACTTTAAGAGATCATGATATTGGTTGTGTTGTGCATAGTATGACAGAAGGAGTGACAGCACTGTCTCAAACTCCAGATAGTGGTCCAGATGAAGCTGAAACATGTAGTGGTCCCATTAGAACAGAGATGACCACAGCTAGGCCACTTGGTGCAAATGGTGCCTTAAATAGAACTTCTAGTGATGATCAAGAGAACACTGCGTCTGTGAATCCTTGTCCCAAAGCCGGAATTACTGATTGCGCCAATGGGGATTTTCTGCTTGAAGTTCAAGAAGTTGTCTGCTGTGATTCACAGAAAGTTGTCACCTCCAGTCTTCCTTCGTTTGAAGAATGGAACCACAATGCTGACACATTACCCATTTCTGATGGGGAGGTCAGAGTGGAAGTTCCCGAAACTCTCTGTTCAACCGATGGTCAACACGGTTCCCATCCCTTGAATCTGTCTTCTGTGCAACGGAATCCTGATGAGGCTACATTAAGCGTGCCTGAGAGAGAGGCTCCAGTGGGATTGCATGAGACTGTCAGTTCACTTCGTGGTTTGCAAAATGTTGTTTCTGTTAGGGCACCTTCATCTGAACAAATCCATGTAGTGAAGGGAGCTATGCCAGATAAAGAGGTCGAATTAGGAGTGCTTGAGACTGTCAGTTCCAGTCATGATTTGCATAACGTTGTCTCTGTGAGTCCACCTTCATCAGAAGAAGAAATCCATGTAGTGAAGGTAACCACACCAGATAAAGAGGTCGAACTGGGAGTGCTTGAGACTGTCAGTTCGAATGATGGCATAGCAAATCTTGTCACTGTGCATCCACCTTCATCTGGAGAAGATATCCATGAATATTCCACAGAACATGAGACTGTCAGTTCAAGTCATTGTTCCCAAAATGTTGTGCCTGTGTGCGTACCTTCATCTGAAGAGCAAGTCCATGTAGTGACAGTAACCTTGCCTGATAAAGAGGTTGATTTGGCAGTGCTGCAGACTGTTCGTTCAGATGATGGACCAGGGAATCTTGCCTCTGTGAATCCACCATCTGATGAGAAAATCTCTGAAAAAGCCACTGAAAAAGAGAACAGTGAAGGGTGTGTTATGGCATCTGACAGTGCAACAGAGGTCTACCAGCAGAATGGAGTTGATACTGCAGTCAATAGAAGCTCATATCAAGAAATGCCCCTGGTAAATTCACCTGGATTGCAGCCTGTGGCCCTGGCTCCTGGTGGTTCAGTGACACAAGAACAGGTATTTGATTGTTGGAAATTGTCAATCTATATAGTAGTGATGTTGTTTTAATCAGTATTCTCATTCTACAAAGATGACTGTGCTTTGTCTGAGGACCTTTTCTGCACTATTTCGATTTTTTACTATCCTGAAATTATGACGAGTTTAGATTTGTAAGATTTTTTATGTATTGTTACTGTGCACCACAGCATATAATATAAGTGGTTCACCACTTTATGATATTGTTTTGGCTTTATTCTTTCTACAAGAAAATAAAATCAGAATGAGAACAGTGATTTAGTCGTTCTCTTGCTGACAAATTCATACCTGTCCAGGCACAACAAGACAAAGGTACTCTGTTAGAAACATCAACTGCCGTACAAGAAGGAGATGCAGAACCCAGGGAAAAGCAGAATACTTGCCAACCAATTGAAAATCTCGCACCCGAATCTGTTCCGGTAGTTTCATCCAATCTGTCTAATCATGAAATGCCGGACATTGAGCCTGTAGTACAACAGCCGCTGTTACCATCCTCTAATACACCTGATCATAGTGCTCCTGAGTTATCTTCAGCTGGTGGAGTTGAAATTCAGCCAAGTCCTGAAAACCGGACCTTTAACCAAGGTGCTCATGCTCCAATGCCACTCGTTGAAAACCTTCTTGATCTTTCAAATCAGACCGTTTCTCGGTCTGTGGCATGGTCTACTAGCGGATTTGGAATGCCGTTTTCAGACACAAGAACTACACCTGTTAGTTCTGCACTTAATAGTCGTTCTATAAATGCTGCACCACAGGGAGCATCTCGAACGCCTCTGCCTGTATACCATGACCCGCTTCAAAATGAATTGGAAAGATTAAATAAACAAACAGATCATATCGTTAAGTCTCACGAAGATACGGTTAGTTTTGAATTTAGTATCTTTAAGTGTATTTACTTTTAAAAGCAAAAATTCTACTAAGGTCATCTTTGTCCTGAACAGAAGCTGCGCCTGAAAACTGATTGCGACAAGGAGATAGAGGAGGCTGTTGCTGAAATTCGTCGAAAGTATGAGATTAGATTTCAGGAGATTGAGGCGGAATTTCTCCTTAAAAAGAAGGAATTGGATTCAATTCACAACAAAGTTTTGATGAATAAGATTTTGGCCGAGGCTTTCAGGTCTAAATGCATGGATCTTAGGGCATCAGGTGCATCTGGAGCACAGCAAGGTGTGACACTTCTTAGTTGCAACTTTGAGTTTTATTTTTTCATTCATATTCAATGAGAAGGATCATCATTGGGCTCTTCTTCGGATTTTGTTTTGCAGAATACATAACATATTAGTTTCATCTAATTAGAGTGTAAAGATTTGAAGTAATGAAACAAAATGTTCAACAATTAATATATGTACAAGCAAAGTGTTCAATAAATTTAAGTATTAGAGCGTAGGCAGTCGGCTTTGGTATATACAGGAAAATTGGGGATGAGAGGATATGTAGAAACTGGATCTTTTGCACTACCAATAGGGTACCCACAGGCTTTTTGGATATTGTCAAAGTTCTTTGATAAACAACCCTGGTTTCGACCATTCAAAGTTAAGGGGGGTGAAAAAGATTTTAGATGTAAAACTCAAAGCTTCAGATTCTGTAAGCTGCTTGGAGGAAGTGTAAAGCTATAGTCCATGAAGATTTTTTACCCAGGGATAGCTTGGCTCTGAATGTAAGATAGTCCCATCATTAAAGTCCTTCGAATAGGGAAAAGTACAAAAAGAAGAAAAGGGCATGTTAGTTGAACAATCAATGAGGATTAAGGTGAAGGATTAATAAAAAAGGATCCTCTTCCTTTGCATAGAAAAATTCACACACGCTGATTCTCCAACAAGGGAAAACAGACAGAAAAGAAAAGGTGGGCGTGGGGTGAGAGATGAGAGAATATTCATCTTGTTTATATATTTAGTTTCAAGATTTGAACCAAACCAAGTAGATTTTATTGTTTGAATCTGATTTTGATGGTATAGAATCTGTTGTAAATTTAAAACATGTCTGCATGTCTTGATCTCATGCCTTTTATAGTCTCACGGCACACAGCTCATCAATACACTATATATCCTATATCTCACTTATCGCAACTTGTGCATTTATGCGTCATTGATTTCTTTGTGTGTTTGTTTGTCATTGCTCTTAAGATCCTCTTATTTCCTTGGCAGATGGGATTTCCAGTTTCTCCCAGCAGCTGGTCCATCTATCTATGCAAGATGCACAAAGATATTCTCCCGTTGCCAGTTCATCTTTGGCCAGCCCTCCTGCAGTTGGCCTGCAGACTTCTATTGCACCATTACCCAGCCCGCAGACAACCGCTCCTGCACCTTTATCCAATCCAAATTGTACAGCTCCACCTATGCAGACTGTTCCTCTTGCACCTGCTCTTTTGCCGAGCATTCCAACAAGACCCCCCCACATCAGTTCCATCTCTTCCCCAGGAATCCCCCAAGGTGCAGGTGAGATTCGTGCTCCAGCCCCGCATCTTCAACCTTTTAGACCTTCAACATCCATGTCAAACCAGCAGTTACATAGCAACCTCCTTGCAACATCTCCTTCTTATACTCATATTCCACGCCTACCACCCCCCACACAGCAATCTGTTCCTCATAATAGGGCCCACCATCCTGAAAGTGCGGGAGGAGATTTGGCAGCTCTTCGTAGTTTGTCTGCATTGGGGTTGCTTATGAATATGAACAGTCGGGCTGGTGCAAATCCACCAGGTAGTTTGCCCTCACAACCAACTTTGGTCTCGAACCACCAGTCAAGCCTTTCTGAACCCCCCAATACGAGTGGTGCGTGTGTAAACCCAGTACATACAAGTGGATCCACTGACATAGTTTGTTTATCGGATGATGACTAACCAGTTACAAGATTTGGGTTCTCAATTTTTTTAACATCGTTTTACAATGTGTCATTGCTGCTCTGAGTTATGGAGTGGGGTTGTGACATGGCCTAGGAGAAGCAGCAGTTGTAATGCTCTCCTTGCTGTTAGGACTTTCTAGGTGTATATTATTAGATGTCTTATGTTCTAACTATTGTAATGTAAATTCAAATTCTTTTGTTCGTACTCGTATGTTTTGCCACGACTTGGACGTTGCCCGTGTAACTATCAGAGCATGCAATTTCCAGAATGATTGGCGTTCAAAAGCACAAAAAGAAAAATATATGAACTAAAGGGGAAAAAAGTCATTTTTGGTTGTGCGTTGTCTGCCTCGATGCATAGCAAATGGCAAGAAACAACTCCTTGCTAATTTTCTGACGTAATTATAAACCGCATTTAGCACTTTTCTAGCTATAAAGATTTGCCGGTGAATGAAATTTCCATATGTACTTGTTTTTTTAGTACAAGTGATGCCATGGGAATTCGAATATGAGACATTGTCTGCAAGTCAATACCCTTTTCCACTGGATTAGATCCCATCAGTGCCATGGGTACTTAAAAACCCTGAAATTGTGAAATATTAGGAAATTGCGAAATGAGAGGGCTGGTAACATTTCCTGTATGGTGCTCCACAAACGCATTGCAAAAGAAACAACAAATACTAACTGAGCACTTATTTATTCGTCTTAAAAGAGTGATAAAAAGATGTCTGGACATTCTAACAGGGCGGGAGTTCTTAACATATTGGAAGAGGAGGAGGACTGCCATCCCATTCCTCAAGACAATGCAGGAGTGGATCGATGACCTTACGGTCGCAAATTGCCGAAAACACTTTGTCACAGTCCTCTCCTGGTGGTCCGATGTTCTCTCTTCTGTTAGAAACTCAGTTCCCAGCTATTCCCTCACAAACTTATACAATGGAAAGGACCTGCAGCTCTTGATGCTGTTTGGAATGGATGCATAACCATTATGAAAAATAAAACTAGCCTCTTCAACTTCTTTAGGCAAAAGAGTCTTCAATTCTTGCTCAAAAGCACCTATCTTCAAGAAGATTGAAGCATTTGGATTTATCAAGTCATCATTGTTTGCCAGTGCATGATCAACCAAGACGTGCCTCAGTTTCTGCATAAGGACAAAGCCTGCACTACATGGATCATCAATGTAGGCAAAAACATATTCATCGTGGATAACTTCGAGCAAATCTTTCTCACAAAACCTTGACGGCTGAAGCTCCCCAGTCACTCCAAAAGTTAGAACCCTTCTGGACACGTGGCTAATTGCATTCTTAACACTGTTCTTCAACTTCTCCTCCAAATTTCTCAAGTCTATAGCCTGGCAAAGTGCAACCAAATAGTTTGAGGCCATTAGCTTTAAGACTTCCAACTGCTTCAGCTGTTTTTGTTGATGAAATTAAACCCAATGAGTTCACATCTTGGTTGTGCTGCTCTGCACTTTGCACATGAGTGGTTACAGGGTTTGCAAGATACTGAAGCTCTGAACAGTAAGCTGCCATAGCTAACTCAACCCCTTAAACCCGTAGTCCAAGTATTCGTATCGGTAATTAGACTACTCCATTTATTATGCCAAAACAAGCCTCTCGGCGAGACGAGACGGGCAGTTTGAAGACACTAATACCGGGTGGAAGAAGAAACGAAACTCCACCTATTTCTTATACAAATAGAGGAGGCCAAAAGAATGGGAATCATAAACAGTAAGTGACGATTCTAACTCATCCTGAACCTAGCTGGCGTCAGATTCTTACTCGAAAACGGCGAGGCCAAACACGGCACTAACTGCGGAAACCGAAACACAACGGCTTCAGTGGATGCATCCGTTGTTGATTCAATTGAATGCCAGTCCAGGAGTCGATTATGATCATGAATGTCGTAGAACTATTGCTTCAGCGAATGTATTCGTATCGGTAATTAGACTACTCCATTTATTAGGGTAGGGCATTTAATAATATAACGTCTCCTTCGATCCCCTCTAACAGTGCGTAATTAATTGATCATCTAACACCGACACCGGCACCAACCGATTACCTTACCGGCTTTCAAAAAAGCACCTTTGGATCGATCCTCGGCATATAAATGACAATATGGTGGGAACTAGAAGATCGGAGAAAGAATCATAACTTCTCGCTTTATCACGCCGGGGCTTTTGGCAAGCTTGGATCCTGACCACCAGAGAGGTTTGAAGCCAACCCATTAATTATTGTAGAAATGGTTAACCAGCTTTAAACTTTTTGTATGAATGTGCTTGTAGAATGCTTTTTGTTATAAATATACAACCGTTAAACTATTCTTTTTGTAGTGTATAGCAAAGAAACTAATTACAGTTTTAAAATATAAAAATATAAAAAAAAAAAATAGCAAGAAAACCTGTCTTGACTAAAGTTCGTCGGCAAATGTCTATGCCAGCAAATATTTGCCTTATTAGACCTCTCACGACATAATTTACCAGTGCCGACGAAAGTTCGTCGGAGAAGGTCTAATCCGACAAAGTTTCGCTGCGTTAGGTTTGTGCCGACGGTATTTCGACGGAAAAGATTTTTAATATATATATATATAAACTTAGTATCTTTAAGTCAATGAATTTTTTTAAAAAAATTTGTTTTTAGTAATTAAATAATATCTTAGCCTTATTTAGTTAATTTCATTAGTAATTAAGTTTTAATTATTATTTCTTTATTGAATAATTTGTATTAAATATTTTAATTAACTTCATAAATTATATTACTTGATAAATAGTAATTAATTTTTAAAAAATTATAGAGTATAGCGATGCGGCTACACTACCACTTGTGAAACTCTACATCAAGGCACACTCAAGTATAGTGTTAGGTCCGGTTATGTCTTACTAACCGTACATTGAGATCGAAACCCTAATCATAAAACCCTAGGTGGAGTTAAGTGAGTATCCAAGCTTAATCGAGTCATAAGTGCCCCATAGTAAGCTTGTGGTTAAGGTTCGAGGCTTGAGAAATATTTTGGAACAAGTTCGGAAGCTAGGGTTTTTGGTTCAAGACTGTTGATTTATCCAAACTAATTTCTTATAAAATAATTAATTACTGTTTAATAAGTAATTTACGAAATCAGTAAAATATTTAAATATTAACTAATTAAATAATAATTAAAATATAATTACTAATTAAAGTAATTAAAAAAGACTAAGATATTACTTAATTACATGTATTAAATTAAAGAAGTTGGCCAAAAAAAAAAGTAAAGAAACTAATTTTATACTTTTAAAGCGAATAGTCGCTCAGCTATGCTGTAAAATATTCTACACAAACGGTATAGTCGGGTGGCTATACTGTTATATTTTCTATTTATAGAATTACTGCAGCGCGGTTAGACTTTATAAATATAAATTTATAGCGTATAGCCGTTTGGCTAGACTCTTAAATTATTATATTTGAAGAGTATTGCCAAGCTGCTATACCTTTAAACTATTCTTTTTGTAGTGGATAGCAAAGAAACTAATTATATATTTAAAAAAAATTTAAAATTTAAAAAAAAGAGCAAGAAAACTTGTCCCGACGAAAGTTCGTCAGCAAATATTTGCTGGATTAGGCCTCTCTCGACATAATTTACCAGTGCCGACGAAATTTCATCAGGGTAGGTCTAACCCGGCAAAGTTTCATCGTGTTAGGTTTGTGCCGACGGTATTTCGTCGGGAGAGATTTTTTAAAACTATATATTTAAACTTAGTATCTTCCAGTCAATAAATTTTTATTTTAAATTTTGTTTTTAGTAATTAAATAATATCTTATCCTTATTTAGTTAATTTAATTATTAATTATGTTTAAACTATTATTTCTTTATTGAATAATTAGTATTAAATATTTTAATTAACTTCATAAATTATATTACTTGATAAATAGTAATTAATTTTTAAAAAATTATATAGTATAGTTGTGCGGCTATACTACCACTTGTTAAAGTCAAAGCGCATTCAAATATAGTGTTAAGTCTGATAATGTCATACTAACTGTATATTGAGATCGAAACCCTAATCGTAAAATCCTAGGTGGAGTTAAGTGAATATCCAAGCTTAATCGATTCATAAGTGGCTCACAATAGGCTTATGGTTAGGGTTCGAGGCTTGAGAAATATTTTGGAACAAGTTCGGAAGCTAGGGTTTTTGGTTCGAGACTTGGATTCACCCAAACTAACTTCGTATAAAATAATTAATTACTATTTATTAAGTAATTTACAAAATTAGTAAATTATTTAAATATTAATTAAAGAAACAATATTTAAAATATAATTACTAATTAAAGTAAT